GGTCTGGATGGGTGGGTAGGTAAGTGACACTGGGGAGGACAACTGCTGTGTCAGTCTCATTGATCAGCTCTTCCCCCCACTATCAACTCCTCACCCATCTACACATGCCAACATGTGGCTGGCTCTCTTGATCCTGGCCATTACCATTTATTCAGACCAGCAACTGGAAATTCTCTATATCCAGTTTGTTGCCACTTGACCTCAAATGCTTTCATTTACTTGTTCTCTTGTCCCTTTTGGGTCAAGTGGGTGCCACTTCAAAAGCCCCACCCACTGGCCATAAAACAGGAGATCAAGATAAGATCACGTTTTCCTCTTCTGTGTGAGTGTCCCAACCATAGTGTTACACTACCATAAAAAGATATTTTGTTCATCCAGTTTTTACTTGAAATTGCAATTGTTGCTTACATCTTGTCTGGAAATTATTCATCCATTTTGAATTTCTCAAGAATTGATTATGCAACTTTGATATAATTTGGCATTCAGTCAAGAGGGGACCTTACTGCATATGCATGAACACTCACTAATGAGGTTGCTCAGTCAGCAATTAAATGCCATTGAATGGATATGTATCTTATGTAACTCTCATTCATATCAAATTAGCATAAAATTTGACTTGAAACTTATGCATTTGTCTACAGTGACCATACATATGATTAAGGAAGCCTTTGAAAATGATTCAAGGAGTGAAAACCAGGTAAAATTTTAGTGTTGATACTTCAAACTTGCCCAGGCATCTCTCATAAGCAATCCACATTTATGGCCAAAAAATGTTGAACAAGTGGACTACAGTCAAAGGTAATTCGGGATTGACAATGCAAGTATTATTTTCTGGATTTCCCAGATTTTCTGTCTGGAAAGTATGCATCCACTTTGAATATTTCAACTGCCTGCTCTTCATATTTTATGTGGGAACTTTTCTCAAAACTTTTGTCTGTCAGTTCTTTAGTCTGTCTGGATTTAGCTCCCTGTGACTTCTAGCTTTCCCCAAAGTAAAAATCACCATTGAAAGGAGTAAATTTCAGATCCTGGATGAGATTAAGGAGAATGTGGCAATGTAGGTAGGTTACTTTTTTTTTTATTAATATTAAATGGCTGGATAGATTCCAAACAATTTGTTAAATTCATGTTAGTGACCATGGCAATGTTTTAAATAGAAATATTCACTTTTAGAATTCATTACCTTCAAAAGATTGAAATTCAAGTTTTTCTAACAAATGCATTCTTTAAATTTCTATAATAGAAGAATTAATTTTGAAATGTTTTCTGTGGGGAAAAAAAGTAATTATCAATGTTAATTATTTATACTATTACATTAATTCTTTATATTATTCCTGTTGTTAAAATGTTTCAGCTAGTCTATTCTATAGTCTTTGGTTCAAGTTTTCTCAACCTGGGGCTTCATCAGCTACCCCCTTTCCTCTGGAAGGGGTCTGTGAAGATCAGATAAAATTTAACATTTATATTCTCTATACAGCCATTGTCCTAGGTGTTGTGAAAACCCACTTTGACTGTGAGTATCTGCTTATCCATCTATGAAGGCCAAGTTCTTGTAGGGCAGGGGTGGGGCTACATGACTCAAAAAAGGTTAAGGACCACTGCTTTAGTTACACAATCCATAAGAAAAGAGAAGTGTTTTTGTTTTGTTTTTTTTTTTTTGTTTTGTTTTGTTGTTTTTTTTTTCATAAAAGTTGGTGTCTGATATGCCAGCTTAGTTTATTCCCACTAATACAGCTGATCTAATTAATTTCTGCCTCAGCAAGGAAATTCACACTTGTCTGTTTAAAATATGTCACATTATTCAATATTCTCAGATTCCAGTGTTATCTCCTGTTATTTGGACTGTGTCCTAAAGTGGGTAATGTGATCCCATCTTCCAGACATCGTTTGTCATTCAAGGCTTTTGTACTTCTCATTTAGATATACCAGGTGTAACAGTACAATTGTCCAAATCATGTAACAGCATAATTATCCATCCCACAAAATGTTTTATATCTAAAAAACAAAAAACAAATTGAGTTTCTTTTTTCCAGGTTTTCAGATAAGACGCTTAGTCATCTTGACACCATTTTTCATAAGAATCACTGAAAAGCCCTTTGAGTTTTTCAGCTAAAAAGAGAGCAGGTTAAAATTGTTTTGTGTCAGGTCCACTGTCTTCACAACTAAGCAATGGTGGGAGGAAAAAGATCATTCCGGCCAACATTCATACTCTGGCTTCCATCTTCAAATTTCATTCAAGAACCATCAAGAGAATGGTGAATAATGTTATAAAAGAAGGAACAGTAGAGAGGAAGACTGGATCAGGAAATCACAACAGAAAGAGGGATCATCATTTCAACTTAGAGCTAAAGAGATCAATTAGAAAAGATCCAATTCAATTCATAAGACATTTGGCATGTGAGAGAGGAGTTTCAGCTATCACAGTTCAAAGAACAGTGAAAAAGGACTTGAAAATGAAATTATATGTGAAACATGTGAGGCACCTTGTTATTCCAGGACAGAAAGTTAGAAAGATAGAGTGAAGATCGTCTTGAATGGTGGAAATTGGTCCTGGAATAATATATATATGAACTTTATATTAATTCTTCATGAGTTTCCACTCCTTATCTATGATTAATTAATGATGAACATATCATTTTCATTTATGAGCGATTTCATCACGATTCATGATACTTCTGTTAAGCTTGGAGAGTAATTATAGGTTCTTATTGCTCAAAGTAGAGTTCAATAGTGTTATAACAACCTCAGAGAATTCCAGTAAGATATCTTTAATCATTTCTAAGATAGTCCGCCTGCATGATGATGCAATTCAGGTATCATTAAATTATCTTCTTCATCCCTTCGGAAAAGAAGCTTTTCGGTTGCTCATGAAGCCACATCTGCCCAGCTTAGGCGCTAAACACAAACTTTACAGTATCCTAAGTCATCATACACTATGGCTTGTGCAGATTCATAGCTGATGTCCACAATTACTGTCATTGGTGCTAACATAATTTCTCAGTCTTTTATGATCAAGACATCCACCCTCTGTGTGTATGATGTTGATGAGTAATCAGATCAGCTTTCAGCCTTTACACTTTTTCTTCCTGCTTTAAAACATTCTACCCATTCATACACCTCTTGTCGATTTGTGGTGTGTGCGCTATACTGCACCAAAATCCAATGAAGGATTTCCGTAGGTTTGACTACCTCAGCCCACAGAAAGTATGCTACAGCACATCATTCATTGATGGTGCAATTACTGAGTGCAGCCTCCCTTTGTCTGATCTCATTGCTGCCTTTCACTCTACTGAACAATAGAATGCTGTACATGGTTAGATAACCATCCTCCAATGGTCACATAGGGTGTCAGACATCAGTGCATCCCTATTTTTTTCATGCATAATTTCAAAATTGCTTTTACTTTCTGATTTACCCTCAAGGCATTTTGTGTGAGTATCTGACTTTCAAGGGTAGCTGTTTCTTTCTTCTGTTATTTCCACAAATTAAAGAAGGCTGAAGAATGAATCAGCCAAAGCATTATGGCAATAACAAAAGCAACCTAAAGATTATATATGATTATCTAAACAATTCTTTCCATCTACATTGGTTATTATTTATGTTATTCACATGCAAACTATTGTCCTCATCTTTTGTTGTTATTGTCACAGCATTTCGGCTGTTGTCACCTCTGGCCTTTATCAGCTGCTTGTCAACCTGGGTAACTTTCAGGTAATTTTGAACTGAACTGTTTATTTAATCTACAGGGGTAGATTGTTCTCGTTCTGCTGTGGGATGCCTAGGGATATTTCATCTTATTTATTATTGCTCAGTTATTGCTTGCCCTCTTTCCACCAAGTATTTACTGCCCAACCCAAGGATTGAGCTCAGAATTACTGTCACCAAATCCACCAGGCTGTTGTCTTGTGGGAAAATCCTAAGCAGAGAGACATAGAGACTTAAACCTAACTTACATGCTGACGAGTGTTGCTGCCACTTGTCATATTTGCCTGCACTCATCAGGCTTTTTTTCTACCTAAGCTGCTACTGATAAAGCCTTGTTCTCATTTCCTTATTTCTTTATTAATGGCTCCCATATCATATTTATTTCTATGCTAGGCCTACTAATGAGATCCTCCTAGCCTAGCATATATGCTGATTCTTTCAGATGTCTAACTCTCTAAGGTTTTATATGTATAGCATTTTTACTTCATTCCATGGGGGTTGATGACTATGCCATTCTCTCTATACAGGATCAGCCATGCTGGATTTCATTTTGCTCCTAATTACAGCTTTTCAATGTTCCTCCAGCTTTACTTACATTTCTTGGATTAAATTTTTGTTTTCACTCTCTTAGATTCATCAAACACTAGCTAAAAAGCTGCACTATCGGGTAGTATTTAAGCTAGCTCCTGTGGAGGACTCTTGGTTTGGCCATCATCACAATAGCTAGGGAGGAGTAGATGCAATAGGCATCAATAAACTACAGAAGAACTCAAAATTGATCGCTGCATTTAAGTATTGAATTAATGTTTAAGCTTACCTTTTTAAAAGTTCAACATCAATTCTTCTGCTGTCACTTAATTTAAAGACAATTTGATGTACATAGATCCTTATTTTCGGTAGAAACAATTATTTTTATTTCATGGATGACAGAACAGGAGACAATTTATAAGATAAAATTAATATAGTGTAAAGATGGGAAAATAGAAATTAGAATTAGTTATACATTCAACATTTGAAGAGTTAGAGAAATTAATAGCTAATTAAGTAAAACCTATATTATGGAATTTAATATATTTTTAACCTTGCATGATCTGACAACCCTGAATCTGAGCTCAATAAAAATCATTTCCTGTGCCTAACTTTTCTAGGGCTTTTGAATGAGCTATGAATCATTGAAATCAGACCAGTGGGAGCAGAGGGGTTGCTTGGACACATACACACACAAACATTGTACTTTATATATAAAATTTATAATGTACTGATGTAGTTTTTTTTTTCTTTCTCTGTTTATTCAGGAACTGGTAGAGAAAGAAGTGAGTGTAGATGTCAATGGGCACAATTCTGAGGGGCTTACAGCACTTCATTTAACAGTACAACAGAACAGTATAGAACTGACAAAACTGTTGTTAGAATCTGGAGCACATATCAATTGCATGTCTGAAGAAGGCTACACACCATTGCACATGGCATGCAAAGGCAACAATAGAGAGGTAAGTACAATATTCTTCCTTTTTTCGCTGATTTATTAATGTAACGTCTGAACTTATCAGGACGAGTTGTTAACCCCACCTCCTTTTTATATGGGTTTGAGGCCTTCAATAAGCAGTACTGTTTTAAATCTTTTCTTTAGCAAAACATTTTTAAAAATAGCACATTAAAGTTTCAACAGTATTATGTGACACTATAGAAAAGTAGTGGCTAAATCCCTCCCTTCAGGGGTTTGTAACACATCTATTTATCATCTCTCAGTTGCGTCTCTGTCTTTGAGCAGAGTGCACTCAGGGCGACTCCGTCAAAGGACAGTCACAACTGAGAAAAATTATTTTGAGAGGTACCCAGCCTTGGAGAACAGCTGCCCAAGGCCGTGCCCTCTCATTGAACCAGAGAAAGAGATTGGTGCTTGCACTGAGGCCAGCGCAACCGATGGTTACGGGGACTGTGGGCAATTTTTGTTCCTTGCCTGGGTGTACATGCTTGGGTACCAACCTTAAAAATAAGAACTTGTGTCACAACTCGTCTTAGTGGGGAGACAGAGTAAATACCTAGAAAGGAAGTGGCAGAATAGTAACATGTAGACTTAAGTACAGGAAGTGGTTAGTGAAAGGAATTAATTAGGAAAAGTAATTAGAGTTAAGTTAAATTAGTACCTGGGTACACACTTCGTGCCTGTGGTTTAATTGTAGAGGAATAACTTCTCAAGAAAAATGACAAGTATAGCAGGGGTCCACAGCCGAAACAAAAAAACATTTACTTAGCCTAGACTTAAACAAAAAAACTCTTGAACACAAAAATGCTCCCAAAGTCGAAAGAAAGAAACACAACTTTTTGTTTGTTCCAGTTTATATCTCCCCTTCCAACCTGTCACATCTCGGCATGTTTCTTTGATTTCTACACATGCATCACACTTACAAATCACATCACCTGCTTTGCCTACCCCCTAATTTTAAAGATCACGCAATACCAAGCCAACAGAAACCAGCAAAATATTAACTTTGCATTGATGCCTGATCCTCTTGTGCCATTTCATAATTGTACATCCAACAAGATGGATGCTGCTCTCTATGTGGACTTTGTGGAGCCACAGTTTGAACCTCAACTTTCCTATCATCACCAGCCTCATCATTTGATGACTTGACAACCCTTTGTAGATCCATCAACCAGCATGTTAACTGAGCACATGCTTGTTATCATTCCCTTTTCCCATTGTGACATGTAAGCTTTAAAAGAGGAGTAAGAAGGTCCTGGATTTGGATCTTGTGGGAGATTTATATGTGAGTTCTTTATCTGTTGGTTTGGTAAAATTGCTAGATATGCCTGGGTATAGCCAACCAAGTTTAGGGCATTGTGCTCAATGCAACATTAAGTTCACTGGCAAACATAGGGATTCCTTGAGGAGAGATGAGATGTCTTACCTCTTAGACATCCCATGGTTAAAAAGAAAGAAAGAAAGAAAGGAACTTTTTTTTTCCCTACCTTTTTTGTATTACTTTGACAATGTCATCTACTAGTTATTAGCAGAAATTCTTTGACAGACAAATGGGATAATTCCCCATTTCTGTTTATATCTCTGAGATGAGATATTATGATTATTTACATTATTCAGACTGTTATCCTCATCTTCATTGGCATATTTGCAACATTTCAGACATTGTACATCCTGGCCTTCTTCAGGTGATTGGAATTTTTGAATAGAACAGGGGTAGATTGTTCTAGTTCCATGTGCCATGCCTCTTTGGGATGTCTCAGTTATTTCCCTTTAACTCAACTCTCCAAGTTTTGGTTCACCACTGCTATGGCCTGGTATTTAACTCACAACTCTTTTGGATCTAGTCCTCAAGGACACATGGCCCATTTAATAAAGACATTGGTTAGATCCAGTGAATAGACCCAAAAGTGTTGTGAGTTCAGTACCAGGTCACAGCAGTGGTGAACCAAAACTTGGAGAGTTGAGTTAAAGTGAAATAATTGAGACATCCGGAAGAGGCATGGTACGTAGAACTAGAGCAGTCTATCCCGGTGGATGAAATAAAGGGTTTGGTTCGAAATTCCAATCACCTGAAGAAGGCTGGCACGTACAACAGCCAAAACATTGTGAATATGGCAATGAAGATGAGGATCACAGTCTGAATAATGTAAATAATGTAAATTCCCCATTTCTCTCTAACACTTTTCCTCTCCTTAAACCTAAATTGATCGCTTATCAACAAAATGTCAACCAAGGAATTATGATCTTTTTATTAATTAAAAAAAAAATTAATTTTCTTGTATATTTAGAACCTTTTTTTGTCTTTCATCAACATGGCTGATGCTAACCTCCAGGAGAGTATTGCATTGCACCTTCTCAGTTTAATGTTTTCCACTCATATGAATTGGAATGATTAGTCAATTACTAAGTCTGCTGCTAAGAAAATCAGTTAATTCACTATTGTCCAAGACAATTTTCTGTTTTTTAACCTTTATAAGCATATCATTCATCCTGCATTGAATTTTTTTCCCAGATCTGGGCTTGTGCTTCTAATAGTGTATCTAGAGATTCTTGACAAAACCCAAAAAAGAATCTGCAATGTTATCGTTCTTGACCTGGTATTCATTCATTTTCCTACTACTGTTACATAGCTTCCCTGTGCCTTTTCTACATATATTTTCATGACAGTTGTTCTGATGAGCTTTACTCATTGGTATCTTGACTAAATGAATTTAAGCATAGTACTGGATTGGCAGTTAGGTCTCATCATTTTAGTGTTGTAATTGCTAAATATAACCATAAGTTCTCTTCTAGTTTCTTCTCTTATATTTCCCACCTGTAGAACTCTTTTTCAACTTCTTACTTTCTTATAAACTAAGAACTTCAAGAATTTAAATGTCTCCTGTCTTCTTGAATCCTATCCTTTTTATTGCTCTTTCTCTTTAGTAACATTTTCTCAGTAACCCCTTGCGCCTTAGTAGCTTTGTTCCCTTGCTTGGATTGAAATGATTTTTAAAAAAGCAAAAGAATCCAATAAATTTGTCATTTTAATTTATTATGAAGTCAGTGTATTGCTTTGATTCTTAATATTTTATTAACGTTGATATATTTTTTTTGCAGTTGGTGGAACTTTTGTTATCAAATGGGGCCAAAGTGAACCTGGCAGATCACTGTGGAAACAGTCCTTTACATCATTGTTGTCGAACTGCCAACATAACTATGTCAGCCATCTTGCTTGAGGTGAATTTCATACAACTCTATTTGCCATCCTATTGGATGCACTTGGAAACGAAAACATGTATCAGCCTTTCTACGGAAATGCACTTCTCCAAAAAATGATTTTTTTTTTTTCAAAATCATATCAAATAAGGACTCCAGAACATGAATATCATAAATTTTTTTTCTTTTTTAAAATTTTCTAAATGTTAAGAGTTGAAGGTTCAGTTTTCAATGTACATTAATTGTAAATTGAACCCCTACACAAGCTCCTGCCAAAAAAATATGCCCATACCATGTGAGAAAGCATATCTTTACTTACAAAATTTCAAATAATTTCAAGTTAAGAAAGTTAATATTTATATTATTTAAGGTATGTTCTTACGATTTTTTTTCCTGTGTTCTATTAAAATAATGCTTATATAGAAAATTTCAAATACTTTCAAAACAACTTCAAAATATAAATTTAAAGCACTTTTTTACTTTTTCTTGTGTTGTGCTAAAATAATGTTTGATACAAAATTTCAAGACAACTGTGAAATAAGAATTTAAAGCATTTTCTTACTTACCACTTCTCCTGTGTTGTTAAATTAATGCTCATATAGAAAATTTGAAATAATTTAAAAACAGCCGCCAAGTATAAATTTAAAGTATATTCTTATTTATTTTTCCCTTTATTATTTGCTTTTTATTTTTTCTTATCTGTACAGCTTAATCTATAGAAATATAGAAAATCTTGTGAAAAAGATGATTTTTTTGGAGAGATGCATTTCTATTACTGTATCCAATTCTTTGTTATAAGAGATAGCTAACAAAATTCTCATAACATGATGTTATGTACATTGTCTTTGCAAAAAGTACTTTTATACTTGCTTGTGTCTTATAGGCTACTAAATATGGTTCATCTTGCTCTCGTTAATAGTAACATTTTATGTAGGAACAAAATTAGCCTAACCTGCACGGGCTTATTGCAAGAATTTAATTAAACTTATGCGAATTACTTCTTGATACCTAAATATACAATTTATATATATATATATATATAATATATATATATAAAATATATTGAAAAACTTTAAAATTTCTCCACTACCAACATCACTTTATCCTCAATGCTAAAAAAGAGCTTACAAAATCCACAAAACCAAAAAAACAGACACCACCAATAACACTTCTAACAAAAATTACACATATTTCGTAATCATTCCCTCCAACACTGTTTCTACTAAACTTGCAAACAAATTAGTCATCCTTAATACTAAGATTGTTACCACCACCTCCAAGAAAATTGGAATTAGGAAGAAAAATTCAACACCAATTCAAATGCCAAGATTTATCAAATAAATTGTTTACAATCCAAAATTTTTATGTGGGTGAGACATCATGTGATCTAAATCCTATGAACACAAGAGAGACTTGCATTTGGACAAACAATGTAGCTCTCTCATTTTGCATCAAAACAATGCTGGACACAACTTTGATTTCACTAAAGGAGAAAATACATTGAAAACTTAATAACAACGACCAATTATAAACACATGCCTAAAACATTACATTACATTGCTAGCTTTCTTAAAACCATTCTTTTACATTTGTATTAATTATATATATATAATATATATATATATAATTAATACAAATGTAAAATTTGTCAGCTGATTGATGTTATATTCAGCACCCCAAATTTAGAGTTTCGTAGATAAACCATTTTGTAATCATTCAGTCCACTCGTCAGGTTTCAGCAATTGCTTGCTGATTTTCTCATTTTCATTATTTTTATATTAAGTTAAAAAAATAATAATTTATGCACTTTTATTGGTGTTAGATTCATTTTTTTTTTTTTTTTTTTGCATGTGCATACACCTATATATGTACACTATTTACATTATTCAGACTATTGTCCTCATCTTTGTTGCCATATTTATTACAACATTTCGGCTGTTGTACACTTCGTGCCATATTTAATGCATGTCAGTTACCAGTTATCTCCTGTTAATTCCCCTCTCCAAGTTCTCCACTGCCTTAACCAGGTATTGAACTCACACTCTTTGGGCCCTGTCACTGGATCTAACCAATGACTTTATCCACTGTGCCATGTGTCCTTGAGGCATGTGGAACTAGAACAGTCTATCCCAGTGAGCAAAATAAATGGTTCAGTTTGGCATTCCAACCACCCGAAGAAGGCCAGCACGTACAGTGTCCGAAACGTTGTAATAAATATGGCGACAAAGATGAGGACAGTAGTCTGAATAATGTAAATAGTGTACATAATACCTCATCTCAGAAATATAGACAGATACCTTTATATGTGTAGAATGTTTTCTTGTCTCCTCATATGCTCTCATTATTCCTTTTTTATTTTCTTCTTGTTTAATTAATATTTTTTTTAATTAATGCTTAAATGTCAAACTAAATATTGGTTTATATACGAGGTCTGTCTGAAAAGTAACAGGACTGGTGTCACAAACAATTTATTTCAATTCCAAACAACAAATTACATGGTCCCTCCCGCCTTTCAAAGTAATCCACCTCTAGTCTAATACAACTATTCTATCCTACTCCGCCATGATTCTATGCACTGCTGGAAGGATTCATCTTGGATGCCCCTCAGCTCTGTTGTTACGGCCCCCTTGCTGGTTTCCACACCTTCAAAACAGGCCCCCACCCGTTGATGATCCCCTTGAGCTTGAGAAAAGAAAAAAGTCACACAAAGCAAGATCAGATAAATAGGGAAGTTGTTCCAGTACAGTTATTTTCTTCTCGGCCAGGAACTGCTTGATGTTCAGGGCATTGTGAGCAGGTGCATTGTTGTGGTGAAGCTATCCTGATTTGTCCTTCCCATAACTCTTGCATGTGAAAAAAAATGCAACTTTTGCAGAAAGCTAAGATTACAGTTATATAATCCCAAGATATCATGTTAGATGATAACACAATCTGCTTCTCTGTCTTTTGCCCAGGGCTCATACAGTACAGCCAGTCCTGCCGTTACTTTTTAGACTAATTTCATATGTCTTCACTCACCCATTATTCTTTTACTTAGTAATTAATAAGTTTTTACCTGGATTGGTGGTATTTTGCATGTATACATGTGTATATACTTATATTTGTTTACCTGATATTTCCAAAAGAAAGACAAAAAAAATCTCATTGCACTTGTTTTTATTTGCACAGCATGGTGCCAGAGTCAACCAGCGTAACCATGTCGGTAGCACCTGTCTACACGAAGCTGTGTGCACTAATGACATAAAGCTTGTGGCCTTGTTGCTAGAGGCTGGGGCCAATATCAACCTCGTCAACAGATTAGATCTTTCCCCCGTTCATTTGACAGAGGTATGTAAATAATGCTTATAAATCGTTACTTTTATGGGCTTTGTTTATTTTCTCTTCGATAACCTTAAGAATAAAATAACAAAAGCATCTAAGCACCTTTACATGTTTATATTATTTTTCATTCAATCTCATGAAATTAATTAAAGCACATGCATTTTTCCTCTCTAAAATCCATTTTCTCTCATTCTAAGATGTGTCATCGTTTCAAGTGTTGTTGAAACTGTTCAGTCAGTTATCTGCCATGCATGATACACACTTAGGTGATCATGTATCTTTCGATACATGACTGATGAGGCAGATTTTATTTCCTGCAGTAGGTTGCCATTTCTTTCTGTGGTAGACCAATTGCCATTCAAGGCTATAGAGCCCAGTCTATCCTGCTATTTACCCATAGCTGGGGGCAAAGAAGAGGATTCATACCTTTCCCAAGGATATTAGCATGTAAGTGAATGTAATGGATTCGACTGGAATTCAAACTCGGGTCTCCAATTCCTCAGTCAGAGAGCTGAGTTCGAATTCCAATCAAATCCATTACGTATGTTGCTTTTAAGGCCCAAATAATAGATGCACAAATACTGCTATACAGTAAGAAAATTGAAGGGTGCAGCATATCAGAATAATCAATGTGGCTATGAATGAGCCAAGCTGGTCAATGTATTTTCCCTGTTTATCTTCTGCTCACTGTTCTGCCTCCACTCACCCCCATAAAAACAAAAGCTTCATCTCTCTCTCTCTCTCTTATTTTTTTTTTTTCCTTTTTCTTTTTTTTGATCATTTCACTCCAAGCAAAGCAGTAAAACCATTAAGACACAAAGGGTTACCGAGTATGAAAGAATAAAAAAAAAGAGAGAAACATTATCAAACAGCGAGAACAAAAGAAGAGTAATCAAGAAGACACTAGATAATATTTGACATTGCATTTAAATTTTTGAAGATTAAAGTTAGCTGGAAAGCAAGAAGCCAGAAGGGATTTCCACAAGTGAGAAGTATGAGAAAAGAAACTGTTAGCATAAAAATTGCAATTGCATCTATCCAATTCAAGTATATATTGATGAGGCCTTATTATCAATATGAATTATTCTCTTCCCCTTCCAGCTATGGGTTAAATAGCAGGGGAAACATGGACTCTTGAGGGGTAGAGGTTCAATTCCTGCTGGGGAGCATAAATCTTTCTTTAAGATTTGTCAAACATTTAGACTGGTAAATGAAAATAAATATACTGTTTAATAAATAAACAGAGCACCTACTCAAATATGAGTCTGGCCTGGCGATGATGTTTAGCGTGAAACAGACTGTCGCATCTGGGTGTTGACTTCAATTTCCACTTTTATATTTACATATGTACTACCCCTGATATCAAGCACTTTAACCCATAAATATAGCATACCTTAAAACTATATTTTATCATATATTTAATCTGGAGAGCTTAATTCATAGGAATATGATAATTGTAAATCTGATTGGTTCCATAAGGTCATATTGGTAGCTGATCTAAAAAAAAAAAAGCACCTACAGCTTGCTTTAATGCCTCCAAAAGGAAACTGCTCTCTATTAATTGTCTGAGAGTACCCTTTCTGTCTTTTCTCAGCATGGCTGATGCTAACCTCCAGGAAAGTGATTCATTGAGCCTTCTCAGGCTAACATTTTCTGCTAAAATTAAATGGAAAGATTATATTGAATAAACTGCTTGGTCTGCTGCGAGGAAAGTTGGTCCACTGTGTCATGCTAGACAATTTTTCTCGCTCAAATCTATCTTGTATATTTATAAGTCTATGATTCATCCATGCTTTGAATATTGCTGCCATATATGGTCTGGTGTTTCTGTTATATATTTAGAGATCCTTGATACAAAGAAAAAGAATCTGCAAAGTTATTGGTCTTGACCTGGCATCTAGGCATCAGTCCGTTTCCCAACACCATGCTATAGCTCTCCTGTTTTTTTTTTTATATAAATACTTTCATGGTAATTGTTCTGATGAACATTGTTCTGTTTCCTAGAATGAATTTAAGCTGATTACTAGATTGGCAACAAAGTCTCATCATTTTACAGTTGAAATGGCTATAGGTGTAATCATAAGTTCTATGCTAACAGTTTCTTTTCTCGCACATCTTGCTCATGAAATTCCCTTCTGGCTTCTTGCTTTCCAGCCAACTTTGATCTTCAAAAATCTAAATGCAATGTCAATCATTATTTTCTGTTTCCTTAATTTCTGTTCTTTTATTGTTTTCTCTCCTTAATGTTTTTCTTTTTCTCAGATTCTTTCACGCTCAGTAACCTTCTTATAACCGTCTTAGTGGCTTCTTATTCTTATACTCAGTAACTTTCTTAATAAACATTTTTAGTGGCATCTTATATTCTTTCACATTTGATAACTGTCTTAGTGGCTTTATTGCCTTGTTTGGCATGAAATAATTTTAAAAATATAAAGAAAATTTTTTTGTAAAGATGATCATATTTTGAAGAGATGTGTTTCTATAGAAACACTAATGTTTCTGTCACGCTATTGAATTTTTGGTTATAAGAAATGGATGACCAAGTCTACATAAATATATGATGTAATACAAATTGCCTTTTAAAAAAAAGGCTTTTTTACTTGTAAGCTAGGAAATAGTCATTTTACTTGTACTTTTAAAATTTGTCATAGGTTGGGAATAACTGATTTAGATAAGTGTTATTAATGGGCACATAGCCAAGTGGTTAGAATGTTAGCCTTCTGACACTGAGACCCTGGTTCAAATTTCACCATGATCAATTTGTCAAGTGACTGCTTACTAATATTGAACTGAATAGATGATCCTATCAGGCAGCACCAATCGGAAAGCACCTGAAGATTTATACCATGAGTTGACCCAAACCTTGTGAGTGAAATTGGGTAGACAAAACTGTTTAGAATCTGTCAATCATGACTCGGGCTTTGATTGTACTGGCCTTGTTCAATTTATGGTCACACCAGATTATGCACTTTATCCCAGAAACTGTAACTAAGGTCTGCTCAGCATAATTGCAATATAAACTACAAGTTAACTCTGTGGCTGTTGAAATGCAAATGTGGCCAAGCAGGTATCTGCTATAAGGATTACCTAGTCACCCTCACAGGTGTGCATACTTCAAAACGACTATCTAGCTATAGTATTAATTGACCTCTGAAATTATTACCTTTTTAGCATTGTCATTTATTGCTTTATTTTGGTTTATTAATATTTTTCCTTTTTCTTTCCTTTTCAGGATCAGACCATGAAACACCTCCTAATGAACTGCCCAAGTTCCAAAAATATGGACAGTAAGCAAAAAACATTTCTCGATGTTCCCAGGTAATTTCCTTTTGGTCTCCTTTTTTTAATTTTTTTCTTTTTCTTTCCTTGAGTTTGTTGAGTTTCTGTGATTTGTGATGACTTTTTGAGAAAGTTACTGATTTCCTTTTGCCTTCTTCTATGCTAATGAATTCAAAGTTTTCCCATTTCTTAGACTCAGCTATTTAACCCATAGCTGGAGGGAGAAGAAATGGATTTCCCACTGACATTAGTGAATGCAATGGACTAACCCAGTATTTAAACTCAGCTTGATGATATCTATTACATTATCTACACATTGGCTTTTTTGCTAAGTAACCTATGATTTCAAAATATTTTCTTACATTATTTACATTATTCGGACTATTGTCCTCATCTTTGTCGCCATATTTATCACAACGTTTCGGCCATTGTACACTCTGGCCTTCTTCAGGTGGTTGGAATGTTGAACTGGACCCTTTATTTTGCTCACTGGGGTAGACTGTTCTAGTTCCACGTGTCATGTTTGATGGATGTCAGTTATCAGTTATCTCCTGTTAATTTCCCTCTGAAAGTTCTCCACTGCCTTAACCTCAAGGACACATGGCACAGTGGATAAAGGCATTGGTTAGATCCAGTGACAGGGCCCAAAGAGTGTGAGTTCAATACCCGGTTAAGGCAGTGGCTCCAAAGTATTTTTAATCAACTTTTTTAAGCTTATGTAATGATCTATGTATGCTCCCTTTCAATGATGTGAGCTCTCCTAAAATCTTTGAATACCAATGGCTGGATTCTCCTTGACATTGCATTTTAAAATATCATAATTGACAATGAACTGTCATTCATTTTGAAATTTTATTTCAATGTTTAAATCAGTTTTTGGCAAATATTGTTTCATTTCCTTCCACTTGTAAAATTCTAAAAGCAGCTTTGAAATCAGTTTTAAGACAATGCCTTAAAATTTCCAGAATCTCAAGACTTGTATCTGCCATTATAACATCTGAAACCAAAGGTACAAATGAATAGTATGGATAATTAAGCATTATGGATGCTAGGGAGATATGTACACAAAATAAGACTTGTGATACACCCTAATTCTAATTAATGAACAGAAATTGAAAAAATATATATAAAACAGAGGATGTCTGGCTGTGTGATACATTTTCACTTGAGATCCATTTAACTAATTTTGACCAAACTTTGTATATACATTGTACAATGTAAGAGATAGGTTCTTAGCATAAAAAAATCAATAATCGATAAAACTGATCAAAAGTCTATAAATTCAATTTTTCCCCTTTGATTTCGTTCAAATTCATTATGTAGGTTACTTACATCATGATGAGTTCAACGATACCTCATTTTTATTTCTACACCACTGCGTTTAGCGAAAAACTGCGAAAAACAAAATATCAATTTCAACACAAATTTTAAACTAAAAACTCTTTCAATTTTCAAGCAATCTAATACAAACTTCACTCAGTTGTAGCCAACAATAAGTTGATTGTTTAACAGTCATTTAACTTGATAATTGAGTCCACCTATATAGTGAAAACCCGTGTAAATAGTAAAAAATGGCAATTTTTATTGGTTTCTTTCTTATTTTTCGTTGTTCTTTCAACCAATTTTCATCAAACTTGACAATTGCTTTATAAATGTATCCTCTTTTATATCCCTGGTAGCACACTGACTAACTGAATTTCAAAAACTCCAAAATAATTGTGGTCGGAAGTGGGTCTTCATGTTGCCTGTTTTACCCCTTCATGTCCTTGGCTAACTTTGATTGAATGAATACAGACTACTTCTTTTATATCAGTAACTGCATTAATTCAAAATGTTTTTAATGAAAGTACTTTAAAGTAATTGAAGAAGATAAACTCTGTTACATCTAAACATGATGCTGTTTTTGCTCCATTCTAATTGAACGCTTTTTTTGGATTGACCAGCTGGATATGGCTGCTAGTCTTAGATAATTTGTAATTGATTTTTTTTTTTCATCTTTTTGTTTTCTATCCTAATGTTATGGATAAATACACTTTTTGAATGTGAAAATGAAGAGCACAAAATTGGAATGGCATATTCTGATGAGACCTGAACACAAATCTTCTATCTTGTTTTTTACTTAGACAACACTTTGATCAATTTGGCTATAGATTCCTGCTCATGTTTAGGCATGTTTAATGCTATAGACATATTACCATTTTTCCATGATTCTTTTTGAATCAACAGATTCTTGGACTGTCAAAGTAAACTTTGTGGAACCAACATAAACAATGAGAATTCAAGTCTTGTCCAAAGCTCTTTATTCTAATTTTGTGATGTTTATTTTAAAGGAGGCAAAACTGAATCTTTTGTATGTGATCAGTTGCCAAATTTATTCTGATGAACCCTCAAAAAAAAGCCTGTAAGCCATATTTTGTGCAGGCTTGCTTTAACATATCAAAGAATTGATCAACTTAAAATGTTATGATTAGAAGATGAAGAAATTGGTGCTGTTATACTTTTGATGCCCTTTCTCCAAACAATGGTGAAACTTAAATTCCATGGAAGCTATGTGGTAAAGATTTTCAATAATAAAAAATAATCAAAGCAATGCATGGCACAAGGGAGGATGATCTTTCCAAGTTCATATGGAATCAAAGAGTCAAAATTTTATCATTTTTTGGCATCAGTTCACCATATTTTTATATCTTACTTAATATTATTACTTCTTGACTTTGTATTCAATTGAAAACACCTTTACATTGATTTCCTTAACCAAAAACACAATTTAATGCAAATTTTACTTTGTTTTGTTTTACGGCATATCAACCTCAATGGGTTATTTAATGCTGACAATTTTTATTGCTGGTAATTTTTTTTTTTTTTTTTTTTTTTTTTTTTTAAAAATGTATTGCTGGTAATAATTTTTCCATTCAAAACTCTATTTCTGGTAATATTTCTTTTTTTCAAAAATGTATTGCTGGTAATAAATATTTTTACAAAGTATTTCTGGTATTAAAACCCAATTTTACACTTTCATAGTGTTTTGACTCCAATTTGCCCATACCTGGGACCCTAACAGGTGCTACCACGCCAGGTCAGGGTGGACCTGGGAACACCAGCAATTAAGAGGTAGTTCCACACTCCCCAAAACCTCCTGATCAGAGGCCTTGCTGTTGGACATAGTTTATCATCATACCCAGGATGCAGATGTAGTTTATTGTCTTACCCAGGACGGGCAAATTTTACTACACAGGAAGTAAATATAGCATTTTGAAGTTGGATGCAAAAGTATAATAGCACCAAAGACCTTTTATTCCAGATCAATAATGAAAATATTTAATCTCAGAATTCAAATCACTTAAGACAACTAGTTCTACTATTATTATTAGGTATGAGTGAAATGGGTAAAATTGATGCTATCACTTTTGTTCTTTATTTCAGGTAAATAACCTTGTGGCCTTAGAGGATTGATGCCGTCTATGTGGCTATTCCCTAAAATGCTCAGTTTGGCTGCCCTTGTGTAACCATGACCTTGTGTCAAGCTGACTGTTCATCATTTGGATTGATGTTCTGCTGCTGTACACTTTCCAACCTGTCACTCATCCTGAAATGAAATTTGTAGGGTTGGTGATGCTGGTGAAGATGAAGGAAATAACTTATGAGAGTTTATTAATCAACAGTTTTTTTTTCCTCACTCTCTCTCTATTCAATACTGGTCAGACATTTTTTTTTTTTTTTTTTTCAACAAAATGACCAGTTCAATTTAAAAGGTATATACCAACTCCAGATTATCAAGGAACTTTTTTTTCCCCTCCAAAATTTCAGAAAGTCTGATATTGGCTGCAAAAAGTATTATGCCAACATGTTTGTCACTGAATTTTTTTTCTTTTAATCCAATTTAAAATGTGTTCACTCACATGTATTGTAATTACTAAAAACCAAAATATTATATTAAAAAAAATGGCTACTCTATATTATTCTATAAATCGGCATTTTTGCTCAATTTCCTATTAATTTATTTCTTCATTTAAATGATTAAAACTTAATTCAAATGAAAATAAAAACACTTATCCAAAAAGTCATCGTGATCAAATTTGCAAGGCCACCATTTTTATTTCAAAATGCATTGGGTCACTAAAAACACAACCTGGTTGCAGGTTTTGGTGCCATATTAGTATTTGGTTTCATATTAATATTTGTTTATACGTAAGAGATTTACTTGAGTCAACACAGGGAACAGACCTTGGATACACCAATCTTCCAATTTTCAATATAAACTGACATTTTCTACAGATGACTTTTACTTGTTTACATAAGTATGTTTACTTATTTTAATTATGTAATGAAATAATTGTGTTTCCATGCTTTTTTTTTTTCTGGTCTTTGGTGATTGTGTAAGGCACAGAAATAATTTGGGAGAGGATTAAATTGTTTAATCTGCAACTATTATGTCTTTATCATACAGATTCTCTAAATATTGTTCAAATATCATCAGATTTTCTGGTATATGTGGCACTAACAGCTTCTAATAAATTTCGGGGTTTATAGTCTTAGAATGTGTGGCTGTAGATACAATATTTAGTACATTTAAGTGAGCATAGAATGGAAAAATACAAAAGTAAATACTAATCTCGAAAGCTATAATAATTGCCTAAATAAGAGTCTGCTAAATGGGATTGATAGAGTGGGATAAAGTATGTCTTTTTGTTATATATACATATATATAAGTTTGTGACCCTGGGTTTCACACTTTTGCAATCATCAGTTATTTTTTTTGTGGAATTGAATCTGTTGTTTTTTCTTTAATAATAATAACAATATATATATATATATATATATATACACACACACACAAGTTTCATTGAAGATGACATTTGTCTGATGATTGCAAAAGCAAGAAACCCAGGGTCACAAACTCCTATCCTTACAACTGAATATTTTAGCTTTATCACTGATATTGAGCACTTTTCAATAAGTATCTTGCATATATAATATATAATAAACAAATATATATATATATAGGTCCCTTCATTCTTTCATTTTCATTCTAGTCATCTGAAGGGTGCATGAGCATGAAACTCTGGTAACAACTTGGGCTGTCCTTTGATAGGAGTTAACAATGTGAATCATTTTTATTTTTATCTGTCTAGGTAATTTAGGCATTGAGCACTTTTCTTAATTGAATAGGTAGGTGTTTGCTTTTAGGTCTTTTTCTTATATTTCCTTCCTTGTTCAAGATTTTCTCTTGATTAGGGTGTTAGGTCTCAAGTCGTCTGTTGGTTTCACCAACATATTTGATTTTTCTTTAATAATACATATACACACACGCACACAAATTTCCTTGAAGATGACTGACAAGGCACTGCGATTAAGCTTTTTATTAAATTTTTCTTTCATTTGTAAAAGTGATTTCTTTTCTAGAGATAGTGTGTAAAAAAAAATATATATATATATATATATATATATATCTATCTCACTTTTACAAATGCAAGAAAAATTCAAGAAAAAGCTTAATCACATTGCCTTATCAATTGTCTTTGATTAAAGTTGTATGAGAAAGGGATTGCTGTCCAAATACAAAAATATATATATATAAGCTACAAACAACAAAAGGTTCTAACCATAAATAAATTCCAACTCCAGACTGCTTCCCCAAAATAAGATACCTTACGCCTTCCACCAGTTGCTAACACAGGCCCCTTCTCATTAACAAGGCGTCTACCAGAGGAGGACTGACATTGAAAATAAATTTAAAACATTGCTTCGAGACAGACACTTAGAGGCTGATGACAGCTGTGTACAGACCAGCTTGAAATAGACTAACTCCATGTTGAGGTAATTTTTGTTTTGTGCTGTGAAAAAATACATATGCTCTGTTATAATAAATACATCGAGCTTTCTGTGGATCACTTTTTAATAATTAATAATACTAGGATCCAGCCGGATTATATACCAACAGATTGATTGCCCGTACTATATATATATATATATATATATATATATATATATATATATATATAAATAAATAAATAAATAAATAAAATGACAAGTTTGTCTTTGTAATTTACCCCTGAAGATGATCTTAGAAAAGGTCAAAAGTACTTGGGTTAGAAAAAATATGATGCCTTCCTTGATGAATTTCATCTTAACATGAAGAACCTGATTAGACAACTGAAATGATCAGTATAAAATAGACAAACACAATATGTCTGTATTATTCAAAAGACACATGTTTAAATGAAAACATGCTGCCTAAATATATATATATATATATATATATATATATATATATATATATATATATATTATATATTGGATTGATATATTTTTTGTTTTGGGTTTCACGCGCTCTGTGATCGTCAGACAGTTTGTCTGACAATCGCAGAGAGCGTGAAACCCAAATATTAAAATTTAAACCCATTAATGACCAGTCCTGTTAAAATTTAAAATCCATAATATTTAATGGTATATGCTATTGTATATAAAATTAAGAAAAAAATAATTCTTGAACTCTGTTCTGGTACAAGGTCATGATTATTGAGTACTCAGTATCTAAATTTAATATACAATAATTTGTAAAACCAACACTGAAATAACTGTACTTGGAATACTTAAATGTGAAGCAAATATACAGCCTTTTAATAAGGCTATACTAACTTTGTAATAAGAAGCCATTTTTGGAGGTGGGGTGGGTATTTATTATTTAGTTAAGCTATGATCCAAAAGTACTTTTCAATGCGTGCTTGTTTTTTGTTGCAAAATAAATTCCCCCGATAAATTCTGTAAAATGCAGATCTTTCATTAATTTTTTTTCTTTACTGGAATAGGAAAGGAATGCATTTAAATGCAAAGTGACATTAATGAAAGGAAGCTACGATGTTTCCTTAAGTATACATTAGTTTTTATGCTTCAGCTCTCCATTTCAGTTCTACCTCCTCTCAATGATTTGTGCAAATGCAATCACTAATTAATACACAATTATATGTATTTGCTCATTATGTATTTTTTTTTGTATATGCATATGTGTATCTCTCTCTCTCTCTCTCTCTTTCCTTGGATAGTACTTTGAAATATATATAAATATAATTTTTTTTTTTTTCCTAATGGGTGTAACCTGCCGGTGAACAATTTCATAGCACAATTGCCTATTAATCAGATGATGACCAAATTTCTCATCTGGAGTAGAGAATTGTAAATATATTAATGTAGCAATTAACGTACTGGATAAATATGTCTGTCCAATTAGGTTTGACTATAAACAGAGCATTGTGAATTCGTCCTTTCTATTATATTTAGTTGTATTTTAAACTCACCTATCTATTCTTTCTAATCTTTTTCTCTTAACATATAGAATTTCTTTATTTTTCTCTCTCAATATCAAGAATTACTTTTTTTTTTTTTCCTTTCTCTCAATATCAAGAATTACTTTTTTTTTTTTTTTTTCTCTCTCAATATCTAGAATTACTTATTTTTCCCTTTCTCTCTCAATATCTAGAATTACTTCTTTTTTTTTCCTTTCTCTCTTAACATCTGGGATTTATTTTTTATTTTGGATAGGTAACATTTTTGGGAATTTTTAATTCTTTGTATTAATATTTTCATTTGATTAAAAACATTTTTTTGCTAATCTTCATTTTGGTTCATTTCAACCGCCTTCTGAGAATTTTGTTTTATTCAGCCTCCATTTTATTTTGTTTAAAAATGTATTTCCTTCAATATTCTTAATGGTTCCTCTAAATTATTTTCATCTTTTACTGCAATTAAATAAATGAATCACTTTTTTTTTTTTTTATTAAATTGTTTTTTCCTTGTCAATTCCCTTTATCAATCTTTTTAAAACGGGTCCATATCCAACCACATTCAGGTATAAAACAATTTCTTTTTACCCTTTATTTTATAGCATTTTTGTATGTAACCTTATGATGCCAATAAGGATGGGTTGGTTATTTTCTTTTCCTTCTACAGGGCTTGCGAACAGACTGAAATGCACAAAACAAAATTCTTATTTTAATTTAAAAAATTCTTTCTCTTCTTTTAACTATGTATATACATATATATCGGTATAAGCTGTTATGTGACACTTAGTGTTCAGAAGGATATCTTTTTACTTTTGTAAATATGTACTTTCCTGTGAAGAGAAAGAGAGAAAGAAAAACAATTTTTTTAATATATTTCTTTTAATGTCTGAAGGCAAGAAATTCAAATGTGTATAATGAAGTTTTGATCATTTTTTCTTTTTTTTTGCTATGAGTTTTCTCCTGCCTCCTGCTCAATGTTGCATTTCTTTGAAACTACAGCAAAATATCATTCATTGATCAATTTTAGTTAAAGATTGTTTATTAACAAAATTGAAACTTTTATTTCATTTTTTTAAAAATTATCAAATGGGACAACATTTAATATATTTTCTCTTTCTCTCATTTTTTAACCCTCTAAACAAATCAT